ATTTTAAGATGTATAATTAGGTATTTAATAATCAACCAAAGCATATTAAAAAAAGTCTTGACACCGGGCCTGTCTGTCTGTCTGCATAAATAGATCTGAATTATATGTCTGAATTATATAGACTATGTTGGAAATGATGATTTACCATCTATAAATACGGTTGCATTATAACTTGTTTTTTACACAGTCAGTTTAAAACATCTTTCTTACTATATAACGTGTGTTGGTAATATTGTAAATATAAATGGATATATTATACCTTAGTCATCTTGAATTTATTCATATTATTTTAACGGTAATTGGGAAGTACACTCACAATCAATATATGTAAAAAATTGTATCCATACCACATTTGTACACAGACAGGCACTATATTTTGCCGTAACTACTAAAAATATTGAAGTACCTGAAAATGCTGAATGTACCTACAACTTGGTTTTATATGAACTATTATTCAACAGTGCACTATTTTAACTTAAAATACCGGTAAAAACCACTATAAATAGCTTTTAGTTTATTTATAGGTTATTTTAAAATTCATATTTTAATTGTCAATTTCTCGATTTTCCGTCTAGATGTGGTAAAACTAATATTACTTTTGTAAACTATAAATTATAAGGAATAAATCGACATCCATTTCATTGCGTGACGCGAAAATTTGTGGTGGGCCCATTCTCCATACAAAAATTGATTGTCTCCTTTAATAGTGTTGCTTTTTTATCACCGTTCTTTCTGTTGCACTTGGATTGATTATATTTTATTGTCCATTTTACTGTTCATCAAGAATTATCTGCACGTAATATTTGATTAATATTAACACCACCTCTGTATCTAAAATTAAAAAGACGAAGAAATTTTTTCTGTATTATTGTTAAACTGTTTATTTTGTTTTGTTTTATAATATAAGTAAATATATATTGGTACATGCTGCTAAGATGGAATGCCTCGATTCCAGTCAAAAGGGTATCCGCTTCTTTACACTCACCATACGAAACACAGCAGCATTACGCTGCTATTTTACGCTGCTATACTGTGAGAGTGTGATCCTGCCTCAGTCTAGCCTACCCATTCATGCTACAACTATAATACAGCTGCAGGGTGGCTCCACGTAAATACGTTTCCACTAACAGCTTTCATGAGCAGACTCAATATAGTATGTTCGCTAAGACGGTAACCTTTGTATTTAGTGCTATAAAAAAAAGAATCCCGCTGGGTTTCTTGCTGGTTCTTCCCAGGACAGAAGTTTATTTCTGATCCAGAAGTAAAATTAAAAAATGGCTTTCAATAAGAATTACATGTTTTTTTTTTAGGTAAGGGTGACAAACGAGCACACAGTCCACCTTATGGTAAGTGGATGCTGTGACCCATAGACGTCGTCATCCCTAAGGACAAAAACAGAATGCCTCGTTCCTAGTAAAAAGAGTTCCTAATACTCCCCATACGAAGCACAGCAGCATTAAACTGCTACTTACATCACAGCATGGGTCTTTGCCACGTGATGTTATTTAAGGCCTGGTTTTTTATTTAACCTAGATTAAGAATAAAAGTGCAGATACGTTGTTACCCTTGAGGACTAAGATGGATTGCCTCGATTCCAGTAAAACAAGTCTCCAGTTCTCTACACAAACCATACGAAACACAGCAGCATCAAACTGCTATTTTACGCCGGTATTCTGTGAGAGCGTGGTTCTACCCCGGTCGAGCCGACCCAATCATGCTACAACCATAATAGCTGCAGCGTGGCTCTACCACGTAAAAAACATGTAATCAATATTGAATAAAAATTATACTATTGTTACGAGCTTGAGGTTCGTGACAATAAAAATTGCCGAGAGAATTACCTAAATTAACACTTTAATTCACTTTACACTAATTAAACTTAAAACACTAATAATTAATCACACTGTTTCAGCCCTCGGGTGTTGTTGGGGCGGTGTTTTCGCTTTTGCGTTTTTAACGGCTCCGCAATGTCAAGGGCTGTCCTATCCCGTGGTGCACCAACATTGTACAATTTCGATGCTCCTCTACTACGTGTCTGAGGTCCCCTCACAGCCGCACAACTTGTACATGTACGACACCAATCCTCGACATCGTCATGATAATGGACCCAGTAAAACTGTTCTCGGACCATCAGTAGAGTTCGTTTAACTCCCAGATGGACTCTTGAACGACCATTATGGCACAGCTGTAGAACATTCGGCACTTTAGCTTTAGGGACAACCATTTGCAAACGACAGCTGTCTCCTCGACCATTGTCCCATTTACGGCACAGGACTCCATCCTGAATCAGCAAGCTGTCCCATTGGGCCCAATAGCTTTTCGTGGTTGAACTCATCGCTGAGACGTCCCTCCACTTAGGCTCAGTAGCACGGGCCTTTATCCATTCCAGAATCGGCTTGATGTCTGGATCTTCCTGCTGTGCATGTCGTAGGCTGTCCTTCCACTTGTTGCTGAGGTGGTCTGTCCTGAGCATCCCCACGGATACCACTTCCTTACTCTCTTGCCTAGTACAATGTTTCCAATCTTAAGGACAAGGTCTTCTTGGCAATGCATCTGCGTTGCCATGAGATTTCCCACTGCGATGTTTGATAGTAAAGTCGTATCCCGGCTGCTGCTGGGCGGTGATGTTAGCCGCAATTCCCTTCTGAGATCGTTCACCTTCCCTTTCTAGGGTTCACTTAGGGCAGCTGGATCGAAGATGGCCCGTTTCCCCACAGCCATAGCACCTAGGGCTGTATCCTTTATTGTGGTCGCGAACCGTAACTGCTGCAACCTCCCTAACGTGAGAAGAACGATGATCCTGACGCCGCCAGGCGGTGCCGTTAGCTGCACTACTCTCTCGAGATCGATCAACTTCCCTTTCTACGGTTCACTTAGGGCAGCTGGATCGAAGATGGCCCCTTTCCCCACAGCCATAGCACCTAGGGCTGTATCCTTTGTTGCGGTCGCGAACTGTAGCTGCTGCAACCTCTCTGACGCGATGGGAACGATGATCCTGCCACACGGCTTCCACCTCCAGTGCATGGGCCAAGGCGTCCTTAAGCGTCTCATGGTGCCCGAGCCTCACAGCAGCTCTGACTTCCAGGTCGCGGATGCCGTCGATGAATGTCTGCACCAGTTTCCCTTCAATGAGCGCAGGTACAGACCGGTATGCTTTTCGCACCAGCTTCTCCACCTCTAGAGCCCACTGCTGCAGGTTTTCGTTGATGCGCTGCACGCGATCTTTAAGCTGCGCACGAAAGACGTGTTCCAGGTGAGCGTCGCCATATCTTGCCTCCAATGCCTCAAGGAGTTGCACATAAGTCACTTCCTCACCGAGAGCTTCCAGAACTGTTAAGGCCTGGTCGCGCAGGCCTAGTGTGAGAGCAGTCATCGCCTGACTTTTATTCGAGCCGTTCGCCTTCATAACAGCCTCAAACTGGATTTTGTAGGCTGACCAGGACGAAGTCCCGTCGAACGGTGGCACTTTGAACCCACATAGCGAAGGTGTAGTAGCTACTACGGGAGCTGTAGTTCCATCCCCCAGTTTGAGATCGTCCAGCGTTTTCTTCACATCAGCCACCACGTTGTCTACTTGATTGTTCACTTGGTCGATTTGGGTTTTAGCTTCCTTGATTTCGTTTTCAGCCTTCGCGATTTGGGTTTCAGCTTCCAACAGGCGGTTGTCATGCTGAGCAACCCTATCCTTCACCTCCCTTATCTCCTTCACGAAGGTAGCGTGAAGATCCTTCATGAGGAGCATTTGCTCTTCCAACCGACGGGCCTGTTCCTCTTGTCGGCGGGCCTGTTCATCCTGTCCGCCCCGCAGCTGCTCTTCCAACCAACGAACCTGTTCCTCCTGTCGCCTGAGCCTGTTCCTGCAGCATCACCATCAGAGCACCTAAATCAGGTGCTGCAGATGTAGGAGCTACTGACGGGCCTGCAGCCGGCGGCTGGCCCTCCGACGTCTGCGGCGTTGCACCACCAAATCTTCTTTGGTCCGTCTCCTGCTGGCGTTGATTTCGGGTACGGACACCCTCCGTTTCCTCCTTAGGTAAAATCGGCATGATGTTATCCCACTTCTGACACCAATTGTTACGAGCTTGAGGTTTGTGACAATAAAAATTGCCGAGAGAATCACCTAAATTAACACTTTAATTCACTTTACACTAATTAAACTTAAAACACTAATAATTAATCACACTGATTCACTTTATTCCGCTCCGAAGCTTCGCTTGTCTCGCCAACTTCAATACTTCCCCGATCGCATCTTGCAGCGCCTATAAATATAAATTAGCACCGAAACATCCAGAATATTCAAGTAAACACGCGCAAGGTACCGAGAGTTCGAGTGTTGACTTCTAGAAGCTTAGTTCTTCGGTTCGAGACTAGATGGCGCTGTCGGTTGAAAGATTAGTGATGTCATTTTCTGGAAAGCTCCCCTCGCTCTTGTCCTTGACACTAGATGGCGCTAGTGCCGTCGACTTAGGCGCGTAACACTATTATTTCTATTTTTGTCGCGCCCCCTCGGCACGTGCCACATCATGTCAAAGGCCGCGACATCAAAAATAGTGTTCCAACAAAGTCGTGTAACAACAAAGTGTAAAAAGTTATTTCCTAACTAACTTGTGTTTTTTATTAACATTCGTATTTTACTACAATAACAGTAAGAATAAAATAGTATTGTATTTTTTATTTTAGTTTAGAAAATATTTTGTGTAACAAACACAGTAAAAATTATAAAACAAAAGCAAAATAATAAGCGTGCCTCCGGGTATAACGACACTATCTTAGCGAACAGACTAGACTACATAAAATGGCAGTACTTTTACGCAAATAAAATAATAATATTAAAAAGTTTATATCGCACTACTTTCTGCGTGGCCTTTAATATGTTTGACACTTTTTATAACGCCGTAAAAAAAACTATTTTCATCAGTTCTATGCCAACGTTTGTGCTTACTATAACTTATCTGGGCGAGAGCACCGGCAGCAAGCATCGCGATCGGTACCTCTTCATAATGATGAGCATGAACCTCGCCTCCGAAATCGTCACTTTTGGTAAGTTGTATTGTTTTTTTATATATATGGAATAAGGTAACAAACGAGCACATACTGGTAGTTCAACTGCTGAAAAGGTAATGCCGTAGCATTCCATCTATAAATGTATATAGACCGTAGTCTATGTACATTTATACCCATCATCGATCAAATATCTAAATACAGATGCGTTGCCATCCCCGGGGACTAAGATGAAATGCCTCGTTACCAGTTAAAAAGGTGGCCAGTTCCCCACGCTCACTGTACGAAACACAGCATCATTAAACTATTGTTTCACGCTGATATTCCGTAAGAGCATGATCCCACATCGGTTGAGTCGACCCATTCGTGCTGCAGCTATGTACATACATGGTGTTAGTGTAAACACCGTTATCCTTGAAACCAGTGAATTTAAGAAAAACGCTATTTTCTTTTATAAAATTTAAAAAGTTTCTGTCCGATACCGTGCGTAAATTCATGGATACCCTATGCGCCCGAGTGACGTAATCACTGTAAAGATCACCGCACGCGCTAGCTACCTACACAACATTCCAATAAAAACACAATAGGTACACATAACCTGTGATGTAACTTTTCCTTCATACTTTCATCCTGGCAAAAATTAAGGAATTAAGGAAAAATTGAGATTTTAATTTAAAAAAATATTATTTACATTGAATTTACGTTCTATAAGTGAAACCAAACCACTGGTTTCAAGGATAACGGTGTTTACACTAACAACCTGTATATATCACATATCTTATTAAAGCTCTTTGCTAAGATATATACATCACATATATATGTGATGTATATGTCTTACTGTCTTCTCAACTAGATTGTATGACTCATTGTTTGCCTTTTTGATCCATCTGGATAGGTTTCCATTTAACAGTATTCTATCTCAGTCCTCAGAGCTGACAACATCTGTAGCCTTCTTGATTTAAAGTTGGTTGCAGGAGTCTATGTCTGGTAAGTGGTTAATGCAGCACATTAGCCACTTACCAGCAAATAATATGAGGGGAAATCTGAATCACACATTTTTGCTCTTGTTTCTTCAAGTCCATTTATAATATATATGTTACAGGAAATGTATGAATTCTAGGAATTGTATACAATTCCTAGGAAATGTATAAAACTCCGAAGCTATTTAGGAAATGCATAAAATATTGATTCAGAGATTATTTAATACGCACAAATGTATACATTTCCTAGGATATGTGCGTATTATATAATTTTATAGAATTCCAATATCGTATTAGGAAATGTATAAATCGAACGCTATGTGTGAATAAAATAAATAAAACACGTTTTTAAATGAAGAATCAGAGTTTTTATTAACGGTCTCATTGAGACAATTAAGTAACAATCATACGGTTTATAAATTATAATATCTTCATACTTCTTGATAATTTAGGAAATAGACTTTTTATTTAGGCTCTCATTGAGACTGAAAAGTTAAAATCATAAGGTATAATATAATATACTAATTTAAGCTTAATAAATCCACTATTTATTAATTCTTAAGGTCTATTTATCACAAAACCTACTATATTTATCATATAACGGTCAAAGTGTCATTTGGTAAGTTATCAGCTCGTTCCCTTCGCACCGCATGTCCACGCGTATTCATTGAAATCTTAAATGTATTACATTTCCGATTGCTGTTTAGGAAATGTATAAATTTCCTAGGAAATGTGTCTAATATAATTAACATCACACATTTCCGGGTGATTTTAGGAATTATATACAATTCCTAGGAATTGTATACAATGACGGATTTCATACATTTCCTTTAACATATACATACACATACAATATATACATACATACAACATATATATATGTATACAGCATCAATACCTCCCTGGGCTGGGAGGGGTTTTGGAGCAGCGAATAATAAGTTGTGCTGTCTCAATGCGTGTTCGTGGACTTCTCACGACTTTCAAAAATGTTTTTGAACATGTAGTTTTTCTTACGATGTTTCTACCGTACGAGGTAGTACGAGGTAAATCACTACAAACTTAAATTTGCAATTAACACTTCCCAGTTTTTGAATTTTTCGGAAGCATTACGGTCACTATAAAATGTTGTTAGGTTAGCAATTACGTAGTAACTTACAAGGGACTGAACAAATTAACCGACTAGGTATTACATGGATCTCACAACTTTTTACGGTAGAAGAACTGAGTTGACGAACGAGACTTGTTTTTTTTTACAAGTTATATTTTTGATGGCATACCACATTTTTTGTTCCACTTTTCTGCGACTTTAATATAAACTAATTCGCCGCATTTCCTGACCTAAATAGACCAACGTACTCCTATAATTGTCAGCGATTAAATCAATCTTCCCTTATGCCAAGTCCAATATATTTGTATATTTGACCTTGGGATTTGTTGATGGTGATGGTGAAAGAAACTTTTCTTGGAAACTGTTATCACTTAAATTGGAAAGGTAAATCTGTAGGGATCCTGGAAATGCCAAGGGAGCCAATTGACCTGCCGCTGGTCCTCTAAGAATAATGCTCTCAATTACATTATTACGTAGCGAATTTACTTGAAGTCTAGTTCCATTGCATTGCAAGGATTAGGCGGATTAAGGTTTCGCAATAAAATTATTGTAATACCGACTTTAATGATTTGGCGCATGAGGGAGAAGACCTGAAGGGTTGAGTTAAGTAATTCCTATTGGTAGCTATCTAATACGGTATCGTATACGGATTTATATATTTTTTGATTACCTGGTATTTTTTTAATATTTGTACATTGGTATAATCAACAGAGGAATTTCTTGGCGGAAATATTGCCCTCTCGCACTATGTGTATTATCTTTTTTTAAGAAATAAATATTCTCGATTCCTGGGTAGACATTCAGAATCAAATCATTGAGACTTGAGATAGACTTTCCTAACTCATCTACTTTAATAAGGCCACCTTCTTCAGGTATTTTTCCATCACCTACGTGGGCTCTCATGTTTGTTCTTAAAATGATTGATTGTACAGAGCTCTATAAAGGAGACACCTTTAAGCAGGCTTTAAGTATATCTGCACGTGTTTCTATAGGCACAACAGGAAAAGTTTGGCGAGTCACCGGCTAAAACAAAAGTGAGGTTTTCCATAATTTTATCTGAACTTCTTAGGTCTTTTAGAGTTCTATCTACAGCTTTTATATTATGTGAGCGGTGGCTCATTGTACATTCGTTCCACATTATGAGACGGACATCTTGAAGAAGTTTGCCCTGCGCCCCGTTTTTTTCGTATGGATTATACGGATTTTTTTTTCTGGAGGGAGACGATCAGGTGCAGTTTAAATGTGGAAAGTCGCGACTATACCGAAAGAAGCCACCGCAAGAGCCAGTTTGCCTCTTGATCGAAATTTGGCAAGTATTAAATTTTAGGTAAGTATTTCTAGTTCCACTAGGCGCATCGATAAAAAAAAATGATTAAAAGCCTTCTTTGTTTTCAACGCTATTTATTATGGCGTCTTAAGCGTGTCGCTGATCAGGTACTTAATTTGGTGTATGAGAACAAACATACTTATTCAATTTGTTACAATCATGTAGTATTTTCATCCTTACAGAATCGCTTTCGTTGGTTCTCTGCGGTTAATGCAGGCCAAAGACTCGTAATTTCTTTTCACTTAATATATAAATTGTGTATTCTATTGTTATGTTTCCCACATGGGCCGTGGATCATATTTTTAACCAGTATATCAAATAATAAGTTATCCCGCTGTGGATCTAGAAGCTCAGCTGATCTTGATTTACAGCAGCATTATTTTTATTTACCAAATATTTTTGAAGATCAAAATTTCCTCCTGTATTGTGGAGGTAGTTTACAGAAATATATATATTACAAACATAATATATATTGCACAAGGACAACAATCTCGATCCGGAACAATTTGTAGGCCATACAAATACTATGCCGTAAATAATATGCCGTGTAGTGGCGGTTAAGAATATCCACTACCCCATATCTTCCCGTGGGTGTCGTAAAAGGCGACAGAGGGAAACAGACAGGAGATGGGCAACAAAAAAACTGCGGTTGCCAACCCGCTGACCAAGCGTGACAACTATGGCAATATACCTCCCCATGAACAATTACACAAATAGACGTCTCCCAGTCCCCGACGGCCCCGCTATTCTTGGCTACGCTGGCGACCATGGTAACGAAGGGGCAGGGGTTGCTAAGAATCTCCGGTGGAGGTTCAGTTGCCACCTAAGACGACTCGACCTGGCAACATATAACGCACGCACCCTGAGGATTGACGAGAAGATCCTGGAGCTGGAAGAAGAGATAGACAAGTTACGCTGGAATATTATAGGATTATCTGAGGTCCGAAAAGAGAGGGAGGATACGGTGATTCTCGAATCCGGCAACTTGTTTTATCACCGGGAGGGCGACCATCTGTCCCAAGGAGGTGTTGGATTTATCGTCCACAAATCTCTAGTTAACAACGTTGTAAAGATTGAAAGTGTATCACGTACCTTATGCTCAGAATCACTTTCGTTGGTTCTCTGCGGTTAATGCAGGCCAAAGACTCGTAATTTCTTTTCACTTAATATATAAATTGGGTATTCTATTGTTATGTTTCCCACATGGGCCATGGATCATATTTTTAACCAGTATATCAAATAATAAGTTATCCCGCTCTGGATCTAGAAGCTCAGCTGATCTTGATTTACAGCATCTTCTAGATAGATGTAGTTTTCAGCTCTTAGTTTAATTTGGTTTCTGCGGATAAAATCAAGTCGTTTATTTATCATCTTGGCCATCACATGTACTAACTAATGGTTAAATAGATTTCTGAAATGATGTAACGTATTCAATTTCGCTAAGAAAGTGTTGGTACATCCGCAGGCGCTCTTATTATTTTGCTTTTATTTTATTATTTTTTACCTGTGTTTGTTTACTAAATACTTTTCTATTCTAAGAAATAAATAGAATAAAGTTTCAAAAATAGAATTACAATCACCGCACGGGGCGACCTTTGATGTCGCGACGGCGCCTTTGACAACAAGCGGCACGTGCCAATGCTGCGCGACACTTAGGCGACCGTACCTAAGCGAACATACTATACACAATAGCATGTCAAATAAAGAGTACTTTATTTTCAATTGTCCTTCTCTAATTTATTAGTTTTGAAAAATATATTCAAAGTAATAGTATAATTAAAGTATATTTACTCAAAATAGGGTGGCAACTCCAACTGCACGGTATATACACTGTACCAGCTACGCGCCCAGCCGGCGCCCTCGCGATTCACAATAATGACACAGTCTTTGTTCTGAATTGCTAGTCTAGTAGTTTAAAGAAGTCTGTGGACAAATAACCCCAATTTCACCTGATGCTATGGCCTATAGACACGCCTTCAACCAATAAACATTCAGCTCGGTCTCTTGAAAACTAATACGAAATAAAACCTCCGTTTTCCGTCACTCGCCGCAATACAGCATTAATATGCTGTTTTTTGTGGTGGTGTTCTCTAAGAGCCCCGTCGATCTGACCTATTCATGCAGCAGTAATATACCTATAGTTGTAGTGCATTTGTATTTTAATTGATTTATTAGATAAAATACTGTGTTAATACTAAACAAATTTCATGTGCTTTCAGGTCTCGCCTACTTCATATTACCACTTTCCTTAAGCTGGGAAATACCTGGGCTCTCTATAACGTATCACTCCTGGAGACTATACACGTTTATCATGGCTGTTCCCCTGGGTATTGGTGCGCTGCTCTTAATCTGGCTTTACGAAAGTCCCAAATTCCTTGCCAATAAAGGTGAAATTACTATAGCATTAAAAGTATTGAGGAAGATTAATGTGGCAAATGGTGGCAAGGACGATGACTATCCGGTAAAAGTTCCTCTTCTTCATCTTCCCGCATTGTTGTAAGAAGGATTTGCCGTAATCGCCCCACTTGACACACCTGTTCTATAAGGAATGGTTATATCGCCATCCATAGTAAGCCAGGAGATATTCCCGGAATTGCCCATAGACGCCTCTTACAATGCCCACGGGACAAAATGGGAATTGGCGACGATGGAAATGCCAGAAATAAATTGACTTCTGATAGATGACGTAGTAATATCCTATTTAAAAATCATCTGGTTAAAAACTGCCAGACGCCTGTTACTACTGTCGTTAAAACACCTGACACTGCTGGCGATTTAGACAAATCCTTTAAAATTAATTTATATTTATTACATAACTCATTATTATCATTTGTTATTTTAGTTGTATTTTAGAAAACAACAAAATATTAAAAATTGATAATGTACGTGGTAGACCACGCCACAGCTATATTATGGTTTAAAGCACGAATGGGTCGACTCGACTACCTGTAGCTGTGTTTCGTATGGTGAGTGTAGAAAACCAGAAACCTTTTTTATATAAACGAGGCATTCCATCTTACACCCGTATTTATAAACAAGTAAATATAATTACTTGAGTAAAAGTAATCACTTAAGTAACGATTTGTATTCGATAGTTAAGTAATTGCTCCAAGTTAGAACTGTCAATTAGAATACTCAGCCAAGTAATAGTCACCATTTCCTTTACTTAAGCACTACTTTGAGGTTATTTTGGATAAAAAATGGAAACTTTGGATAGCATTGGAACGGTTTTTGCTGTTGTAGACAATATAGATGATAATATTATATTAGAGGAGATCGAATTTGATTTTTTTTTTCAAATATATATATCGAATAAATAATCATAAGAACAGAAATTAAACAAATAAGTATAATAATCAAACATTATATTTATGTTGTAAGTTTTACACTATTTACTTTAACACATTTAATTTTATCGAATAATAATTATTTTTAACAGAAAACAAGAATTAATTAAACATTTATTTTTACTTTAAAGTTTATTTCTTTAGAGTTGAATTTTAAAATAACGATTTTGACAACCTGGCACCTACTAAGCGCTCACGGGATACCGAAGTTGCCACAATGGCAAATAGATCTTAGCTAGGCTAAGAAGCCCGGGTGACAACCCTTTCATGCTATTTCACATCTCCAACTCATCTCCCTTTATAGGAGTGACAGGTGATTACATGAATATATGTAACTCTTTTTTCGGGATTATGTTATTTCTGCTAAATGAACCTTCTTACTTTAAAAGTTTAGACGTTAACTAACTTCGACATTTTTTACGAATATTTATTTTCGGCGTCACAAAAATCGTGTTAATCGTCGTTCGTAAGTTTTAACATACGAAATTTTATGCCTTAGAATTGTTGGTTATTTCGAAGCCTTTGACAGTAAGCCAAAAAATCGTTCATAATAATGAAGAACTATGTATATGAACACAGAAATAACCATCAAGCGTAGAGTGTTACTTGGGCATTTGCTCAAGTAAGTAACATGTGTTACTTAACTATAGAATGAAATTCTAACCTTAAGTAATGACTTAACTAAGAACTTACTTGGCAACAAGTAATTACTTCTTTATAAATACGGGTATTAGCCATCAGGTATGACAACGCATCAGCATTTTAATTCGTAATCGATGTTATCTGTAGATGTCTATGGGCCACAGCAACCATTTACAGGTAGACTGTGAGCTCGTTTGTCACCCAAATGCTTTCAAAAAGGATGACAAGCCAGACAAAATTTAATAGTAATATTAATATGCATGTTATTTGCTATTTTCTATATACAGGAAATATATTATGCCATGTTTTTATGAAAATATTTGCAGGTTCACATTCTTGAAGGATTAGATATTACAACAAGCCAAAAGCAACCACTATGGTCTTCATTAGTGACTCAGACAGTACCATTGTTCCAGCCTCCACTGTTATTAAAGACTTTACAGTTGTTCTACCTAATAATTGTATGTTGCGCTACGTAAGTTTCATTACATGTCTTTTAGAGAAAGTAACCTTGTCTTCGCGTTGCGCTCAAAATATTTTTAGTATTTTAGTACATTTTGAATAGTGCAAGAATGTGTTATTTTTATTTACCAAATATTTTTGAAGATCAAAATTTCCTCCTGTATTGTGGAGGTAGTTTACAGAAATATAATATATTACTAACATAATATATATTGCACTCCAAAACTCACTATATGGTGTTAATGGGAGACTTCAACGCAAAACTAGGCACAAGAAAGAACGGTGAGCTGAAGGTAGGAAAATTTGGGATACGGCAACGGGCCAGCAGCTGGCCGACTTCATGGAGAAAGAGAGACTTTTTATGACGAACTCTTTCTTCCAGAAGCGGCCCCACAGTAAGTGGACCTGGTCGAACCGGCGGTTCGGCAAAAAATGAGATTGACTTCATTATGACGACAAGACGCCAACTGTTCAGTGATATCTCAGTGATCGCAAGGGTGAAAACTAGCAGCGATCACCGAATGGTTAGAGGCACACTGAACCTAAACGTTAAGTTGGAGAGGTCTCGTCTAATGAAGTCAACGCTCCGTCCCCCCTCGTACTCTAATCCAGAATCCCGAAACCTTTCAGCTGGAGTTACGTAACCGCTTTCAGTGCCTAGAAGATTACAATGCAGTGGACAATATGAATGACAAGCTCGTGGAAACTGTACATGCGGTCGAAGCTAAGTTCTGCAAGACCGGCCGCAGAAGAACACAAAAGCTCTCCGATCACACTCTTAATCTCATGGCTGTTAGGCGGGAGATGAGACTGCAATCGTCAACAGATTTGACAGCATACAGGCGACTGAACAACAGATCTCCAAATGCATGCGGCGAGACTTACGCAAATTTAATACTGCTCGTATTGAAGAAGCGATTGAACGTAACCAGGGCTCCAAAGTCTTTGCCAGAGATCTGTCTGCCAGTAAGAGCCAACAGTCACAAAGCTGAAGACTGAGTGTGGCAGCATCGTTTCCGTGACACCTGAGATTCTGAGTGAGACACATCATCGTTGGAGCCACACGCAAGTGTGAGTGACGATCCAAGAGCAAGTCTTATCCGACACTATTCCGATGTTATTCCGGACGTCAGTCTGAGCGAGATTACAATGGCTCTCCAGCACCTTAAAAACGGCAAGTCCCCGGGCGAGGATGGAATTACAGCGGAGCTTCTGAAAGCGGGTGGAAAACCAGTACTTGAAGTCCGTCAGAGGCTCTGTAATTCCGTCCTCCATGGTGGCACTACTCCGGAGGCGTGGAGCAGAAGTGTGGTGATTTTCTTCTTCAAGAAAGGTGACAACGCCTTCTTGACTTGACTTCTACAGACCGATATCCCTTGTGAGCCGCGTCTACGTGCTGTTTTCGAGAGTCATTACGAATCGTCTCGCACGCAGACTCTACGACTTCCAGCCTCCCGAAGAAGCCGGTTTCCGAAAAGGCTTTAGTACCATAAACGATATACATACCCTGCGGCACATTGTACAGAAGAGCGAAGAGTATAATCTGCCACTTTGCCTGGCGTATGTGGACTATGAGAAAGCCTTTGATTCCGAAATTTGGGCGGTGCTACATTCTCTTCATCGGTGCAAGTTGACTGTCGGTTTATCAAAGTGCTGAATTGTTTGTACAGTAGGGCTACAGTGGCTATTCGAGTACAGAACCAGAGTAGAAAACCTATCTAACTGCAGAGAGGTGTAAGGCAGGGTGACGTTATATCCCCGAAACTCTTCACCGCTGCATTGGAAGACGTTTTTAAGCTACTGGACTGGAAAGGATACGGTATTAACATCAATGGCGAGTACATCACTCACCTTCGATTTGCTGACGATATAGTCCTTATGGCAGAATCGCTGGACTTAAGCACTATGCTCAATGACCTCAATAGTGCCTACCAACCGATAGGTCTTAAGAGGAACATGGACAAAACAAAGATCATGTTTAATATCCATGTCACACCTATGCCGGTAGTTGTTGGGAGCACTAATATCGAAGTTGTTGACGAGTACGTTTACCTGGGACAAATAGTCCGATTAGGTAAGTCCAACTTCGACCGAGAGGTCAATCGACGGATTCAACTCGGCTGGGCAGCGTTTGGGAAATTACGACACATCTTCTCGTCAGGTATACCTCAAACTCTGAAAACTAGATTGTACAACCAGTGCGTGTTGCCAGTGATGACTTACGGATCTGAGACGTGGTCCTTCACTGCTGGCCGTATGAGGACACCCAAGGTCACTCAGCGAGCTATGGAGAGGGCTATGCTCGGAGTTTCTCTGCGTGATAGACTGAAATCTGATCTCACAACTCACACACTCTCACTCACAACTCTGAAAGTTGATCTCACAACTTTTTACGGTAGAGGAACTAACCGAGACCAACACTTAGTGTTTTTCTTTACAAGTTATGTTTTGACGCCATCTCATTCCTTTTAGCAGATATTCCTACTTTTGTTCCTTTCCGATACCATCTAATTCTTGAATACCATCTAGCCTATGATTCTATTATATTGTTCAAGCCACAATTAATGCCACTTACGCCATCTTGTATGGAGTGGCAGAACTAGGAGAGAACTTTCTACAACTTGTTGGTCGGGACCGGTATGCGCTCGAACATTCTAGATGTTTCAGTGGGAAAGCCGGTAAAGACCGCGCCCGAGTCAGTATTGAATTCGCGATCGCGATATAACTGCGAATTGTGATTTATTATCACTGTGTTTTTAGTTGTAATTGGTGTTCGGTAATGAAAGTGTCAATTTTGATCAAAGTCGTCAGAGGGCCAGCTGCCAACCATGGAGGACGTTCCGTCAGCAACTCCTGCATCTGCAGCATCTGACTTAGATGCTCTGATGATAATGTAGCAGGAGCAGGCTCGTCGACAGGAGGAACTGACCTGTAAGTTGTAAGAGCGGCTGCAGCGTGGTCAGAAAGGTCCTTCATAAGGAGCATCTGAGCATCTACTGATGCTCCTTATGAAGGACCTTCACACTACCTTAAGGAAAGAGATTGAAGGATAGGGTTGCTCAACATGACAACTGCCTGACGGAAGCTGGAACCCAATTCGACCAAGTAAGCAATCGGATTGACAACTTAATGGCTGACGTGAAGAAAACCCCGAACGACCTCAAACTTGGGGATGAAATTCCAGCTCTTGTGGTAGCTACAACACCTTCGCTACGTGGATTCAAAGTGCCGCCGTTCGACGGGACTTCTTCATGGTCGGCCTACAAAATCCAGTTCGAAGTTTTCATGAAGGCGAACGGAGTGGGCCTTTGAGGTGGAGAAGCTGGTTCATTAAGCATACCTGTCTGTACCTGCGCTCATTTAAGTGACCAGTTTAAGTGACCAAGTGTACCAGGTAAGTAGACCGCATCCGCGAACTTGAAGTCAGAGCTGCGGTGAGGCTCGGGCACCACGAGACGCTTAAGGACGCCTTGGCCCATGCACTGAAGATGGAAGCGATGCGGCAGGATCATCATCTCCATCGTGTTAGGGAGGTTGCAGCAGCTTCCGTTCGCAACCGCAATAAAGGATACAGCCCTAGTTGCTGTAGCTGTGGGAAAAGGGGCCATCTTCAATCCAGCTACCCTAAGGGAACTGTAGATAGGGAATGTGATCGATCTCGAGAGGGTAATGCGGCTAACAGCACCGCCCAGTAGCGGCAGGAATACGACTTTATGATCGAACATCCCAGCGGGAACCCATATGGCAAAGCAGATGCATTGTCAAGAAGACCTTGTCTAGAAGGTTGCAAGCATTGTACTAGGCAAGAGAGTAAGGATGTTGTATCTGGATGCTCAAGACAGACCACCTTAGCAACGGGCCAGCAAATGTCTGAAAAGGTGAAAACCCGGTATGACCGCAAAATGAACAACAATGGGTTCGAAGAAGGTTAACTAGTGTGGTTGCACAATCCAATCCGCAGCAAAGGGAAATCTCCTAAGCTTCAAGCTAAATGAGAAGGACCGTACCGGATTTTGACAAGGATCAATGACGTAACCTACCGGATACAGAAAGGTGCAAGAAGTACTCCATGTGGATCGACTGGCGCGTTATTATAGGCCGATAATGCTCCGGGTGAGCATTTCTTAGGAGGGGGCAGTGTTAAAAGCCATATTTAATGTCACTAGCGCCGTCTAGTATCAAATAGCAGAACTAGGAGAGCTTTCTAGAAAATTCTATACTAGAACTTTCCTACTAGCGCCATCTAGTCTCGAGTGGTAGAAATAGGAGAGAACATTCTACACCCAGTCGGTCGGGACCGGTATATGCTCGAACATTCTAGATATTTCAGTGGAAAAGGCCTATATAAAGCCGGTAAAAACGCGACGCAATTGGCATTGAATTGGCGATCAAGTGAATACTTTTTTTTTCTTTTTTTTCGGGTAGGTGTGAAAAAAGTAACAACTAAATTTTGTGCATCTCTGTTTCATTTTATTTATTTATTCTAGTTATTCATTGTGTACAGTATTTAATATTTGTTAAGTATCAACTAAAATATCATATATGCAATAAATTAAATACCTGCCATATGCTGCTACCACTTTTACAAACTTCAAGTTGAGTACAATACTTAAAGAACATCTCAGTATGGAAAACATATTTGAAGTTCTTAAAACACAAGTATCACTGGAGAAGACCCTTAATCAGAGGTTGGATGAGTTTGAAGCGAGACTAGAGGGGTCATCAAAGAACTTAAGCCTGAAGGGTACCTAAGTTCTGACTACATCAACTTCAAGAATTTTGTTTATTCAACATTTACATTACTGCGGCAGCAAATTAACCATCTAATTGTTAATGTGGATGCCATTGAAAGAAGACACAGAAAGAAGTTTCTGCTGCTGGGAGGAGTGGTCGAAAATACCAATGAGAATGTCCACGAATTGGTAGCTTCCGTCATCACGAATAATCTTGGTATCAAAAATTGTTCTAGTCAGTCGCTGCAGGTATGTCATCGTCTTGGCACAATATCCAATG